CACCATCAGTTCTAGCTGCCCATTTTTCTTCCTCTTGTTCTCTCTGTACCCTTTGTCCCTGCTTTGACAAGTCCAAGCTCCCCAGACTTCATCTTTGCTCTGCCACATCTTCTGTTGCTTAATTGCACCAGTATTTGATGAACCAAGACCTGCCGCCACTATTTTATATTCACCAAGCACATGCAATTCAAACTTTGGCCCTTATCCTTACATGAAAAGTCTTAAAGTCTTTAGTGAGAAATAACTAACAGATTATTTCTCAAAAAAGTAGCAACTGAAGACGACTTTTAAAATGACAAAGAATAGGGGCTGCCTAGAAACAATGTGTTGGCCTAAAATGAAGGGAAGCTAAATACATTACGAACATTGCAACTTGGATGAAAGTGTTAAAATGTACTTAATTATTATTATTATAATTAAATGTCAATTAAGAATTTGGATAAATTAATATGGAGAAGGGAGGTTAATTTTACAGAAATGTTTTGTTTTTCTGACTTGTATACTTTGTAACATCAATAGTACCAAAATCTGTGGTATAGATAATCACTAAATCCAAGAGAGTCTAAGTTTCTGGACTTAAAAAATAATAGGTCAGAGGCATGTGACTGCTGAAATTATTTGCAGATAGATGAAACTTACAAACACAGAATACACAGCTACAGATCTTAAGGAGGCCCTGGGTGGTACAAATGGTTAACGTGCTAGCCTGCTAACCGAAAGGCTAGAGTCCCCCCAGAGGCATCTTGGACAAAGTGCCTGGTGATCTACTTCTGAAAAAATCAGTCACTGAAAACCCCATGGAGTACAGTTCTACTCTGACACACATGGAGTAACCAAGAGTCAGAGTCGATTCCATGGCAACTGTAAAACAGATCTTACAGTGTGTAAGCAAGCATAATGACTTCTATTCAAGCAGAAGGAGAAAGAAAACTGTACTTTAAAAAAACAAAATAAATGAAAATACTCTATATCAGACTCTATTTGTCTACAAAATCAATGATGGCAAAAGTTAATTCTGAATTACAGTGTTATTAATTTAAAAATATAGCTTGAGGGTTTTTTATTTCTAATAACTTATAACTCATAAAAATATATCAACCTTGCACATACATTAAGATACTGATAGTGTTTGTTAATGATAAAAGAAATTTTATAAATGCACAAATGATATATACCTTTAAAATTAAAAAAAAACTTATGAAGGGAAAAAAACCTTTTTTTGCTACTTAGCATAGTTTTATAATATACTTGGTGTTATATTATTTTCATAGATTACTGTTTCTCTGGGATTATCAGTGAATGTTTTGAGGGAATGTGCCGAATATTTCTCATAATAATTAAAAAAAAATTTACTGGCTACAGGCAATATATAGTTCAGAGTAACATACCTGAGGTACATGGTTAAGTTTTATTTTAAAATATTTTTTCAATGTTTTCATTAGTGCCAGGTAAACATTATTATATGTTAATTAAAATTGCACTATTATCATTTTTCTATTTAGAGGCTTCCTTTCCTAGAAATAAGTATGAATGTGGAAGATTTAACTGTAAAATGAAAGGAGTAGAACCTAATATCCTCTCATGGAAGTCTTTCCCAATCTGTCATTTAGCAATTACTGACCTCATACCTGGTATGTACAAGGCACCAAGGCATTACAATGGTGGAGGATATAGTCATGGAATTAATATACTCTAGAAGAGGAGAGATATCTAAACACAAATTATAAGACAGTATAATTATCATGTAAGTTATACAAGGGGGAGTGCTAGAGGAGTATAGAGGATATAACAATCATTGTTTTCCAGGGATAATCAGAGAGATGGGGAGAAAAAAAGTGACATCTGTCCAGGGCAAAAATGATGGTTAGAACTCAGGTGGAGATCAAGAAGAAGGAGCAGGGTAACATCTAGGCAGAAGCAAACATGAGGGAAAGGCACAGAGAAAGGGAGTCAGTTGGGTATCTGATGGCAAGGGGTTCAGCTTGACTAGAATCCTGCGTAGGAGAGTGGTGAGATGATGGCAAGACAGGCTGTATCAGCGCGCAGGATGGAGAAGAGTATCTTTGCTGAATGAATACAATAAAGCAAGCACTCAGTGAAAGAACAATCAACTGCCCAGTAGGGAATCTATCTAGCTATTTTTGTGCTCCTAATTACAGAGCTAAAGTGCTATATTATAGGAAACAAATACCGAATCAGCCCATTAAGAAAGTATTCTTCATTAGCAATACTTTTAAATAGTCAGGAAGTTTTAAAGTTCCAGAATAGATTATTTATGGCTGTGTATATTTGGGGAGCCAGGAGGTAGGCATGGATAAACAGTAAAGAAAGTATTCTGATTTACTTATCTGTTACGAAGTACTTACTCTAGTCTAGAAAATGTGTTACTGACAGGTTTAAGAGAAAAAGAAAAATTAGTACAGAATATTACTACTTTACAATTGCTACTCCCCTAAATGAAGTGGATTTACTAGCGTCTTGACTTTGAGAAGGTCATTCAGGCCTTCTAAGTATTACTGTCCTCACCTGTAAACTGGGAAGAAAAATCACACTTTCTTCATAGAGGTGTTGGATTGGTTCTAGAAAGTTATATTTTTTTCTCTACAGGGCTTGTTCACTGCATCTTTTTCAAGTGCAGGGGAGAATATTGTTCATAGCACTCTCTTTGGTTTTTAAAAATCTTTACTATCTGTTGTTATATGCTGTTTTTCATTTCAAATATTGTTTATCCCTGCCCCCCTCTTCCCTTGACCAGTATTGCAGAGATTTCTCCATTTTATTGGTCTCTAAGAATCAACTTGTTTTTTTGATCCTCTCTACTACTTCTTTGCTTTGCATTATTTTTCTCTCTTATCTTTTTAATTTCCATCGTCTGTTTCCTCTACATGCTTACTCTGTGTTCTAGTTCTAACTTCTGAGTGGATCCTTTTAGCTATTAAATTTAATATCATGTTTTTCATTATGATTTCCTCCTCAACCCATTAATCTGAAGTTTTTTTTTTTTCCTCCTGTTTCCAAACCAAACCTGAATGGATGATAGATATTTTATATTGACAACTCCAAGTTCATAAAATTACCACACCATCTCCATTATGAATGGTGTCACTCTGTCACTTGGTGTCTTCTCAGGAAACAGCTACAGTCAGAGATCAGGATACATGGATATGAATTGCCTCAGTACTCAACCAGTATCTATACATAGTACATCTCAGATGTGAATCCAGGGTAAGGGGAGGTTTGGCCCTGAGAGTTTCATTCTAGGTAACTATATAAAATCTACCAACCAACCTACAAACAAAAGTATAGTAAATGCTATTTTACCTACAAATGAAAAATCTGTTCAGGGCATTTTTTATGATGAACATATTCTGCCTCTTGCTTTCTTTCTAGCAAAGACCTGAGGCAACCAACAGCAGTGGCAGGGCTAGGCATAATACTGCCTTTACCTGTATTATGAGATAGGTTGACAGCATATTATTCTTTTTATGGGAATTTAAAACATAAAAGGGGTTAAACATGCTAAATAACATTCACAGATTTTCTGTGTCCATGGATATGAATATTAGTTCACAAATGTGGGGAATATTTGTGAAAATAAGTTGTGAAATTAATGTTTTTGAAATAAAGGAAGTAATATATATTTCTACTAAAAATTTGTATAATTTGTTATTTGCAGAAAGTAGGAACAAAACTGTTTTCAGGCCTCTATGACCGCTACACCTTCTAATGAGGGTCCTAACAGGTCCCGTCACCATTAGCAGATGTTTCCAGTAAGTTTCTGAATTAATTCTGTGAGATATAGGAAACTACATACATCGTTTACTGTTAAAGTCTTAATAACATAGTCATAATTCTATATTAGTAACTTTCAGTTTGTCTTCCTATGGGGGAGGGGGAACCCTAAGGGTTTAAAGCTGTAAACTATTACATCCAGAAATACCTTTAATCAATTAACTCACTAACGAAGCTTGTCTAATGAAAATTACACACCAGTACTTTTAAAAGATGCTCTTTCAAGTTTTTGATTTAAATAATAATTGCATTTCTTTTACATACTTCTTTGTAATTACTGTATTTAAAATGTGGTTTGGATATTTACTCAACTACCATGTAATTTACTTCTACTTCTTTCGAGTAATTTTCTAATAAAATTAATGACAGTAGCATAATGATTAATAATGATACATTATATTTTATAGTTCTTAGGAGATACAAGTACTTTATTACAGATTTCATTGCCTTTACCAGTATTATGAGACAGACAGGTTGACAGTATATTATTCTTTTTATTGAATTTAAAACATAAAAGAGGTTAAACATGTTAAATAACATTCACACATTTTCTGTGTCCATGGATATATTAGTTCATAAATGTGGGGAATATTTGTTCTACAGAAACGTTTCATTTATACGTCTACTACAAACCAATGTGTTCTGCCAAAATGAGGAAGGTTTATAGCTTCCCAGACTGGATACATGCCAGTGAATACCCAACTTTTATCCTTATTTGCTTAATTTTCCTGAACTTCAGGAAAGTACTCTAGGAAAAACACAGCTCTATGAAAGAATTTAAAGTGATACTAATTCATTTGTCTTGACAATTTTCTGCCTTTCACTTAATGTTGATACTCTGCGATCATCCAAAACTGAGTTTGGAAATTACTGTTGTAGTTAAATAATATGCAGTGAGAATAATTGCCTTGGCAATGTCTGGAAATACCTGTCTAAACTAAAAACCCCAACTACTGCAGCTTATTAGAGCAGAGATGGGCCTAGAATCTGAATATCCTAAAGTCTAGGCCTACTTTCTAGTCTGAGTTTGAGAACCACAGAGTTGCAATGATTTTAACTCATATTCACCAGTGTATATTGCAAAGTAATGTCATTATAAAGACCAATTTAAAAGAACCATTCTAAGTGCGATCATTCTGCAAGCTTAAAAATAAGCCTCATTTTGAAATTTCATTGTATATTCTTATGGTAACTAAGAAATGACATACCTGCCCCAGGCTGCCTCATTTGTTGATGCTTTATTAACTGGAACACAGGAGGAGTCAATGACAGTTGATTTGTTCATCTTGTAGCAGAAACCGCAGTTAGGATCCAACATACATTCATTACAGTAACTGTAAAATGAGAAGAAAGAGTTACAATCATTTTAGCAGAGACAACTGTTGCTCACCATATACTCTATTCCATGTGCTTCCCTACATTTTTCACATGACTTGCAGTAAGATGGGGGCCATGTGACTAGTTTTTCCACGGTAACAGATACGTGCCATGGCAGAAGACGGCTGGGTGGTCTCTTCCATCTCCCCCTTCCCTAGCTGCAGCATACCTGGAAGCCAGGTTGAGACAGAGGAGGCTTGGATCCGAGACCCTGGAGGTAGAAGAGCCCCAGCTGACCTACATCAGATAAATTTTTGCTGACCTAAGCCACTGGGGTTTGCTTGCTACCAAAGTATGACCTGGCCCTTCCTGACTCAGCCCTGTCTCATTCCAAGTTGTACCAAACCATTTATACTTCTCTGAATTTTCTCTTTCATGGACCATGCATTTAAAAAATTGGAAATAGTGTTTTTTCCAATATAGATACTGAAATAGAAAATTCAAACAATTAAAAAGTTATGTCTAAAGAAAAAAGCTAAAAAACAAAAATTCCTACCCCCCAAATACGGTCATTGTTGACATCGTGATGGACAGCTGCACTTTTAACAAATATACATTAAGTTTCCATCATGTATTATGCTTAATTTAAAAGAAATGGGTACAGAAAAAAGGTTAACCTTTCTCTAAGTTAATTACATGTACTGGTTGGAGCACAAAGCAGTATCAGTTAATCACTGTTTAAATGACAGCAGTATCCTAACTACAGGAAAATCCGAAAGAGGCTAAAACCTTTGGAGAGCAGAGTTTTCCAACCTAAGACTACAGTGTGCTTGTGGAATGAGTATCCTCACTGTCACACAGTCATTTGTCAGACAATGCTAGAACATCTTACAGATGGTAGGCATATGCATGGCACTAGAGGCACTAAGACGAGTAAGTCAAAGTCCCTGCTCCTTGGGAGATAAAAGGGACGACTGAGAAACAGGTACATGAATAAACAATGGCAATGTTATATAAAGTAGGTATGAACTACCCTGAGGGCAGAGGCCTATTCATTTTTCCTTTAAGAGCTAGGAATAATTTCGGAGGTGATACGGGAACTAGATCATAGAAGACATTTACCAGGCAAATGATGGACGGGCATTTCAGAGAACTGCTTATTTTATATTTAAAGATCAGTCAGCACAGACATATTAAATAGCTACTTTGTAAAAGTAACTATAATATGGGGTGTCGGGGGGAAAAACTGGGTAAGAACTAGTGCCAAGTCATCAGAAAACGACATAAAGGACAGTACTTCTGACTACTCAAAATCAAAATACCTCTTTGATTCATTCAGCTAAATGTGAAAACATTGGCACTGTTTAAAGATTAGATTTATTATCATTTCATCCTCCTCCTGCACACTTTTCCTTTGGCAAACAGCCATTCTTACTTTTGACTAAGACTTCAGACCTGGACCAAAAACAAAAAAGGAGGACTTTCAAAATGCACTGAAAGGTCAATATACTTTAGAGAGGAGATTTGGCAATGTATAAAAGATAAACTGCCGACACCTACGATAAGCACAATAAAGAAAACAATTTAAAGCATTAGGCACAGAAATACCCTGAGCTTCTGGCTTTGAAAACTAGACTAGGCTAATTTGGAAAGGAAAGTAATTTCTACTAGTATTTTGTTTATTTTCTTTGTTCATTCTGCCTTATAAGAAGTCAAATCTAACAACCCTAATTGTCCCAGTTTAACAATCCTAATTGTTTGGGAAAGGGCAACTCACTTATTTGCAGAGAAACGGCTTTCTACTTTATTTCTCTGAAAATATGTAGTTCATATAAAAGGTCAAAAAGCATAATGATGAAGGCTAATAGTGAGAGTCCACCACCTCTTCGTGTGAGATATATGAGGTGTTATCCATAACAGCTTCACATTCTCCATTATGCACTCATTCAAGCATACCACTCTGACTACAATCTCTCCTTCTTCCACCATGCTTATTAAAGACACTCCATAATCATTCATTCAACAAATACACATATTTACACCTACTATGTGTCAGGCACTAGTCTACGTACTGGAACACGTCGTTGTTATTAGTTGCCGTCAAGTTGATTCCAACTTATGGGCGACCCCAGGTGTGCAGAGTAGAACTGCTTCATAGGGTTTTCAAGGCTATGACCTTTTGGAGGCAGATTGCCAGGCCTGTGTTCTCAGGAGCCTCTGGGTGGGTTCGAACCACCAACCAGATTTCCTGCCCTGGTGGAGTTATTTGTATATTACACCTCCTGGTGGCCTCCAGTTAACTGACTCTTCTACTTGCTCTCTGTTCATTAGCTGTTTCTTTCCTCTAGTTCTCTGCTTATCCAGCTTATTGACCATGCTGCCCATCATTTAAATATCCTAAATTTCCCTGCCCCTCTATCTTCCCATCCCACCCAGCTATCAAAAATTCCAGCCCCATGTGAATGTTAAGGAGCCCTGTTGGTGCAAACAGTTGGGCATTCAGCTACGAACCTAAAGGTTGGTGGTTCGAACCCATTCAGCAGCTCCGCGTGATAAAGACTGGCAATCTACTTCCATAAAGATTACAACCAAGAAAACCCTATGGGGCAATTGTACTCTGTCTCATGGGTCGCTGTGAATCGAAATTGACTCAACAGCACCTAACAACAATAGATGAATGCAACATTTGCCTTTCCTGTGCCTTCGCCAACACAGCCACATGTAGCTGAAAGAATCACACAATAGGCCAGATCATTAGTTCCTCTGTAAGTCATAATCAGCAGCCTCAAAAGGACCTTCAATAAGCCTGAAATTCTTAATAGTTTTCTTTAGCTAACTCTACACAGAACTATTTCAACCTCTCTACATGAGGTCTATCTCAATTCTCTTTACTGTCTTCAAACCTCCAATGCTTCACTTTCCTTTACACTCTGCAGATGATCTCAACTCCAGCTTAACAGAGAAAGTAGAAGGCAGCAGATGGGAACTTTGCTATCTTCCAAATGGCAAACATATAAACTCTCCATCCTACTTTTTTTATTCTTCAGTTACAAGGAGAAACTGTTCTTCTTACCTAAACCCAACTTCTCTAACTGGGCTTGCATTCCATTCCAATTCCTTGTGCTATCTCAGACCTTTTAAAGTAATGTCCCTTCTTCCTTTTCGTGGAAACCCTGGTGGCATAGTGGTTAAGAGCTATGGCTGCTAACCAAAAGCTTGGCAGTTTGAATCCATCGGGCGCTCCTTGGAAACCCTATGGAGCAGTTCTACTCTGTCCTGTACGGTCAATACGAGTTGGAATTGACAGGATGGCAATGGGTTTGGTTTTTTTTGATTTTCCTTTTCTTACACATCCAGTGTCTTAAGACAGAAGATTAGATTATTGATTTGAGATCATTCTTTTTTAATGTAAGCATTTACAACTATAAATTTCCAAGCACTGTGGGTTCCCTGCATCTCATAAGTTTTGATATGTTGTGTCTTCACTTTAATTTATCTCAAAGTATTTTCTAATTTCCCTTGTGATGTCTTCTTTGACCCACTGGTTATTTTGGAGTGTGTTGTTTAATTTCAACATATTTGTGAATTTCCTAAGAAGCCCTGGCAGCACAGTGGTTAAATGCTCAGCTGCTAAAGGAAAGGTCAGTTGTTCGAACCTCAGCTGCTCTGACGGAGAAAGAGGTGGCAGCCTTGGAAACCTTATGGGGCAGTTCTAATTTGTCCTCTAGGGTTGTTATGAGTCAGAATTGACTCGATGGCAACGGGTTTGGTTTCAGATGACTGATTTCTGATTCCGCTCCACTGAGATCAGAGAACACACTTTGTGTAACTTCAGTCCTTTTACATTTATTGAGTCTTGTTCTATGGCCTAGCACATAGTCTATCCTAGAGAATGCTCCATGTGTACTTGAGAAGGATGCTGTTGGGCAGAGTGTTCTACAGTTATCTTTTAGGTTCTAGATGGTTTATAGCTAATATGCAAATCTTAAAGTATCTTAACCTCCTGGTTTCTAATAGTCTTCACCTCCACTTCATCTAATTCCTGGAAACTGTCATCATTTACGCAGAACAGGGGTTAGCAAACTACAGCCCTTGGGATAAATCTGACTGGCTACTTGTTTTTGTAAACATTACTGAGACACAGCCATGCCTATTTGTTTATTATCTATGGCTACTTTTGTGCTACAACAGCAAAGATAAATAGTTGCAACAGAAACCATATGACCTTTAAAGCCAAAAATATTTACTATATGGCCCTTAACAGAACAAGTTTGCAGACCCCTGATCTATACATATATAGATCCCACATGCCGATTTCTCACTCCTTTCCCTCAAGCTCCCTCTCTCCTTTATGCCTTTGACACCTGCTCGTCTACTTCAACAGACCTTCAACATTTCTTTCTTCCTGACCCTTCACTTGCTTCATGGCTTTGCTTCCTTTTCTGGAATCTTCTTGGTAAATCCCTTTAACTATGCTCACCAGAGTCTTGACGTCTGTGTATTTATGTCCTATTACAGCCACCCTACAAACCTTCATGCTTAGCTGTTTCCAACCTTATTTCTTCTTCCTTTCTACATTTAGGCTGTGCAGTACTGGTGGAGAAATAATACAACCAGGCATATTGACAAAACAACACATTCATAGTATTCAACCTCACCTGGATCCTCACTGCTGCTAGGAAATTTTTACATGCCCTCAATCTATGACTTTGCACATTCCCACAACTGATAATACAAAAACTCATAACTCCCCTTAAATCCTAATCCTTATTCCCCCATGAATCTCTTAGAAGAAGGCCTTGCCAACTCCTTCTTTACAGTGAAAACAGAAGGGAACAAGCACAAACGTTCCCAGCTTTAAACTCATACATGAGCAAACGTATCTATAACCATACCTATCCTCACTTCTTTCCTTCAGGTGCTGAAAAGAGGTGTTTAAAGATCATCTCTCTACCAGTGTTTTTAATTGCATTCCCTCTGGTCTTCATCAACATCTTGTCCCATTAGCTACATTCTT